TAAATTAGTGTAAAGTGAAAAAGCGGCGTTACGATATCTCCTTCGAAATGGTGTCTTAGTTGTTGAAAAATCTTGTCGCAAGTGCCACGGTCGGTGATGTCCATTAAGAGCAATGTCCGTATACAGAATGTGCCGGTATAGAGAGGCAGAAGAAGGGTTTACCAGTTTGTTAGTCAGTAAGAAAGGGGTACGAGTGCTTCCGTTTCTGTGCTTTGTCATGTTTAGAGCTAGTCTATCCCTGGAGCCACAAAGTGTCACTGGGAAAAGTACCAAAGTTTATGAGTAGATCCCCAAATACTGTGGTTGCTTGGTTCAATTGTTGCCGAGAACTCTGCTCCGAAATGTTATCTGTCGCCATGAAAGGAAAACTGAATAATCCACCGAGAAATTAATTGCAGGTCGACGAGGCCAGATTTGCAAGACGCCGTAAGTACAACAGTGACAGTCTTCTAGGTGGAGATGCAACTGCCGAAGAAAAAGATGGCGATCTGGTAGAGAATTATCGAAACTATGGTTCAGCCATGGATAATCCATGGCTCTTTGCATTGTGTCAGGGTACTGACGTTAGGTATTTCTACGTACACCAGCGAGATGTAATGACGTTGATCCCTATACTTAAACGCGAAGTAGAAGCACTTTTAGTAATGAGTTCTGACGAATGCGCGAATTATCGGCGACTTCATCAGACTTGGTACAACCACAAACCCTTCAATCACCAGGAGAATTACCTTGACCCGAATGCAGGTGAACACACCCAGCCAATCACGAGGACTTAGTTGTACAACATGATTCAGCTTTTGACTAAAAATCGGGGAATTCCACAGCGTTTACTTCAGGGCACCTTTATCAACCCTGCTGACGTACTTCGAAGGGAAATTAAGACCACTTTCTAGCCAGCCCAAGCGTTACTAAGGAAGTATTTGTTGCTTTATTGTTCTCATCCACTTCGGATTTAATTGTCGCAATGTAGACAACATACTTTAAGTGTGATTCCAATTTTTGACCAGCAATTATTAGGCTAGGAATAACGCTATAATTGTAAACGGATTGTAGGAAGCACGCTATAGCAGCACCCTCTATTTGCTATTCTATATCTTCCTGTAGATTCAAATGCTTCGGAGGCTTCTAATGCTTCCGTTTCTGCACCTTCGCCCCCTGCGTCCGCATCAACGTCGGCGGGCACCGGTGGTGCGGCTGAGCGCTCGCAGCTTTCTGTATCCACTCAACTGGATGCGCGCATAGTCCTCTCCCTCTCGCGCATGCACGTGGAATTTGAGGCCGCCTGCTACCGACTGGCCAAAACCTTACCTCGCGAAAGACTTCGCCTGATTTTCCTCATTAACAACTTTGATCTCGTCATCAGTGTCCTATCTGTGAGCACCCCCGTTCTCTTAGCACGTATCGCCTTTTTCAAACTGCTAGCTCCTCGCGTTTTAGTGTTTTCGCCTAGCTGCACGCATCTTTATAGCGTATTCTAGCTTTTCTCGTAGCTCTTTTATTTTTTATTCGTACTGGCCGCTCAATGAAGCTACAGAGGACTTAAAGCTGGTATACCTTCGTGCCTACCTGTCTTTTTTTCAGTTACGTTATGCCGAGGATTCCCATGCACGGAAGAATTTAGTAGCTTGGACGGTTGTGTTTAACCGTACAAAAATGGGTTTTCACCAACTTCTTAGGTCTATCGGGCAGGCATCTTTCGTATACACAGCCTATATGTCGTAGGGGTCATCGGAACTAGTAATCTGTTTTTTTTACTCCGCACACCGTTAGTAGCAAAGTGTATGGCGACGGATTTGCGGACTACTGCTGTCGATCCATCAGCACTCCCCCATTCGTTCGGTTTTTACACATTTTTACCACAGCTGTCAGTGTCTGATCATTACCTTTTTTTACACGTTTTATGTTTTCAGGAGAAAGGGGCAGGTAACTGTCCTGAGGTGCAGCGGTGTCGAGAGGTTATTGCGACACACACCAGTGCCTACATCGACCAGGCATTGTTGCCCTACTTTGGCAGCATGATTAGTTTTATCAGCGCCGTGGAGAATCGTCAACCCGGTGACA